GCTCAGTGGTAGAACACTTGCCTCACATGCATGAGTTACTGGGTTCGATTCTCAGCACCGCATATAAAATGAATGAATAAAATAAAGGTCCATCAACAACTAAAAAAAAAAAAAATTGGGCTGGGGATGTGACTCAGTGGTAAAGCACCCTGGGTTCAATCCCCAGTAACAAAACAAAACAAAACAAAACAAACAAACAATATGAATGGCTGGGCATGTAGATCAATGGTAAAGCACTTGCTTAACTTGTGAGCCCCTCGGTTACATTCTCCAACACAAAAAAAGTTTTTTCAAGATTAATATGTCATATATTTTCCCCCACCAAAGAACCAAGCTTGCAGATGACAGAATGTCTTCACACGTTGTTGGAGCTGACTGGTCCAAAATGCTGCCTGGACTTTCGCTCACTCAATATCTGTCTTCCTTCAGGTTGGATTCTTCAAACGGAACCTGAAGGAGAAGATGGAAGCTGATGGAAATGTTCCAAATGGAATCGCTGGAGAAGACTCTGGAGAAGCATCTCAGGAAAAGTCCATAGATCTGGATTGTTTAAAGCCCCTCCAGGGAGAGGAGGCTCAGGATGGAGGTGACAAGGACTGAGGTCCAGGCTTGATGCACAGAGGACTCAGAACTGAACTTAAGATTCCTGGAGCTAGKCAGCCTCTGCCTGCATTGCAGGCCTCAGTTTCCTGGTTTTGAGCATGGATCTCATTCCTGCCTGTCTCTTCTGCAGATTCACKGTGAGAATCTACAGAGGTGAGGCCTTGTGGTCCTCAGATGGTCCTGGCTCCCACCAGCCTGTCTTAGTTTCCTCCCCTGGAAGAGAATATCTGATTTAAATTGAAATTGAAATTTGAACCGCWGTCTCAGAACCTAGTGATACTCTGGCCTTCACCTTTGCCCTTGGATGTCCAGAGGCCTCAGATTGCCAGAACTTGCCCCTGTACTCTCTCCTCCTAGTGTTAGTCCCCCCCATTCTGTTGCCAGAGAGCAAATGTGATCCGTGTAACTGCATTGCTATAGCAAATGACAAAGACCACCTTCCTTAAGATGACTATCAAGGTCTTGCAGAATTGGGTCCCTACAGTTTTGGAGATGTCCTACCTCCCTTTCTAGGGCTTTCTAGGCTTCTGTTATTCCAGCCTTTCTTGGCTGCCAAGCTCCTTCCTCTCTTGCTGCATCTGCCCAGACAGCCCCCTGTGCCTGGAACATTCCTACCCTTCAGATCTCTGCCTACTTGTCATTTCCTCAAGGCAGCCCCCATCCTGGCTCAATCCAGCTCTACATTGTCCACACTTACACAATCCTGAACCTGTTCCTTGTCCCCCAGGTTGTATGTGTTCACTGCTTAATGATTTATTTAATTTTTATCTCTCAAATAGTGAACTCCATCAATGTAAGGAGAGCAGTAACTGTCCCCGTTCACCTTAGAATCATTGATGCTATCTCAGGGTAGGGCACACAGCAGGTGTTTGTCACAATTTCATTAAATTCATGATGGAACCTATGGAAAGATATAAAAAATGTTTAGACAGGCCCTTGGGAACCCTGTCAAGGCTCAGCCTTCACAGGTTCTGCCCCTCTCCTGGTTCCACAGTGCCTGCTCAGAGGAAAGCCAAGCTCAAAATGGAATGGGTTCCACTGGTGCCTTGCCACCAAGCACAGTGCCTGTACATATTTGCCCAGTAAATGTGAGATTCGGTCCAATTTTGTTTTTGTGCTGTTGCAACATTCCAGACTGGTTCAATTAGATAAACATTCCCCTTTCAACCTAAGAGGTTGCAGTTCTCCCTAAGAGGAACCAAAATGGTCAGCTCTGCCTCTTCCTTCTCTGTGACTCTCTCCTTCTCTCTCTCTCTCTCTCTCTCTCTCTCTCTCTCTCTCTCCCTCCCTCCCTCCTTCCTATCCTCCCTCTTTTTTTTCTTTTACCATGGTGACCCTCAGATACTGATCTGTGCCTGACCTTGTAGGTTTTATTAAAAAGAGAAGGAGAGGGGCTGGGATTGTGGCTCAGCGGTAGAGTGCTCCCCTAGCACGAGCAGGACCTGAGTTCTATCCTCAGCACCATATAAAAATAAAGGCATTGTGTTGTGTCCATCTACACCTAAAAAATAAATATTTTTTTAAAAAAGGAGAGACACTGGTGGTGTAGCTCAGTGGTAGAACACTTGTCTAAAATGCATGAGGCCCTGGATTCAATCCTCAGCACCACAAAGGACAAAGAGAGAGGGGGTGGGAGGGAAAGACTGAATCAGAGAAAAGGTAGACAAGGTTAGGGGCATTTGATAATTTATTAAGATGGGAGTATAATCCAGTAATAATGGTGCATGCCTGTAATCCCAACTACTTGGGAGGCTAAGACAGGAGGATCACAAGTTCAAGGCCAGACTGAGCAACAAAGTGAGACTCTGTTTCAAAATAAACATTAGAAAAGGACTCAGTGGTATGTTTGTGCATGCTTGAGACCCTGGGTTCAGTGATCCCCCACACCTTCCTCATCTTTTATTTAGAGCAAGGATGGAAGAGGTATGGCCCTCGAGTACCTCCTTTAGAGGAGAAAGAGGGGGCCAGTCACTGCTGTCTTCCTGTGCTCAGTAGGACCCCAAGGAAATATTGAGTGACTAAGATCAGCTCCTGGTCTAGCACTGGGAAGAGAGAACATGGTGCAATATTTTGGTTCCCCAGGCAGTGACTGCCCCCTTCTGCCTAGAGAAGATGACATAAACATTCCCAAGCCTGGCATGCAAGACCCAAGATRGTCATTCAAAGCCTCCTAACCTCTCCAACCTCACCACCCATTCTCCTGGTCAAGCCCCCAAAGAACCTGGGGCTGGCCCATAAACAAGATAGCAGAAAGGAAGAACTGAGACCCATTTTCCCAGAGTGGAGAAAATGTTTAACTGCCAAGAATATCGCAGAACTAAGAACAGCACAGGAAATGATCTGCAGGGCTCATGAAAGGTAAGTCAGGTTCTTTTCATTCAGTAGGTCTTGAGGGCTTTGTGTCCAGCTCTGTCCTGGGATCTGAAGATGTAGTGATGAAAATGGCAAATCTCTGTTCTCAAGAAGTTTGTTCCAGTGGGAAAATAGTACGGTGACTTCAGGTAGTGATTAGGGCTAGGAAGAAAAGAAAGCAGGATAACAGGTTAGGGAGTGATGCAGAAGGCCGGGGGTGGTCAGGGAAGTATCTCTGAGGAGGTGATATTTTGAGACATACTTGTACACACACACACACACACACAAAAAAAAAGATTGTTTTCATCGAGTCTGGAACCAAAAAAGCAAGTCTCATTTCAGGATGAGAACTGCCATCATTTGCATCTAGGAATCTCTTCTAACTGGTCCTCCCTACTTGCCTTTCTCTGCCTTTATGACTTTACACAAAATGCTCATTCCACCTCTCCTTTTCCTTTCTTCTTTTTTTTTAATTTTTAATTTTTTTGTTTTGTTTTGAGATGAGGGTCTCCCTATATTTCCCCAGGATGGCCTTGAACTTCTGGACTCAAGTGATCCTCTCACTTTAGCCTTCCAAATAGCTGGGACTATGGGCACACACCACCACACCTGGATTCTACCTCTTTTCTGTCCAATACCATTTTCCTTACTTCAAAGCACTTGAGCTTTCTTCATTCACTCGATTCCATCAGCACTGAGCTTCCTCCTCACTGGGGCCCATCACGCTGCCTCTGAGCAGGCTTCTCTCCAAACTGTTAGGTCCTGCAAGGAGGATAAAGCCTCATTTGTGTCTTAGCAACACCTGCTCCTCCCCAGGGCTGGCACAAGGGGCTGTTCCATAAGTGTCCAATTCTGCGGTACTTAATATGAGGGTTCTTTTATGCTTTTAAAACTATTGAGGATTCTCCAAAGAACCATTTTTATATGGGTTATATCTATTGTTATTTATTAAATTAGAAGATAAAAATGGAAAAAAATAGTTAAAACATAAGAACATCCAAGCCCATACTCCACATGAACCATCAGAATAATGACATATGTCATTGCAAATCATAACTAGAAAATGCTGTATTTTCAAGAGAGAGTGAACAAAGAACATCTTAATATTGTTAAGGAAAATAGTCAAACTTCAGTCAGACCTGGTTTGAATTCAGGCTCTGCTGCCTCCTAGTTGTGTCCTTGGGACTTGTTTTTTCATCTGTAAAATGGAAATAAAAATTACACACACACACACACACACACACACACACACACACACTTCAGAGCTTCTGTGAGCATTAAATGAGATGACATTTGCAAACTGCTTAGCAATGTTCCTAGCCCATATATGCTTATTAATGGTAGTGGATGGCAATGGTTTTCCTTGTGCAGGCTGTAGCAGAAAGCCAAATAGAGAGACCTAATCTGGAGTTGGAGTTCTCCCACTAGCTTGCTGTGTGATCTTGGGAAAGAAACTTGCCCTTTCTGGTTTTTTTCCCTACTCTGGAAGTTTCTCAGGAGCTGTCATAGAAGAGAAGGGTGGAGTTTGATCACCTAAATCCTCACCCTTATTTCATCTGCTTTTATATACAATGGACCTTTTATCCACAAACTTTATCACATCTGCCAATTCAACTAATTGTGGCTTGAAAATATTTAGGACACTGGGGATGTAGCTCACTGGTACAGCATGTGTCTCACATGCATGATGCCCTGGGTCTAATCTCCAGCACTACAAAATATATATTCAGAAAAAAATTGCATTTGTACTGAACATGTACAGATTTTTTTCTTGTCATTATTCCTTAAAACAATGCAGTTTAATGACTAATTACATATATAGGTATTATAAGTAATCTAGAAATGATTTAAAGTGGCTGGGCAAGGTGGCACATGCCTGTAATCCCAGTGGCTCAGAAGGCTGAGGCAGGAGGATCATGAGTTCAAAGCCAGCCTCAGCAACTTAGCAAGGCCCTTAAGCAACTCAGCAAGACCCTGCTTCAAAATAAAATACAAAAAAGGACTGAGTATGTCGCTCAGTGGTTAAGCACCCCTGGGTTCAATCCCCAGTATCAAAAAAAAAAAGTGTATGGGAAAATTATATAAGTTATATGCAAATAGTATGCCATTTCATATAAAGAACCTGACCATCCTCAGATTTTGATATCTTCAGGGGGTCCTGGAGCCAATTACCCATGGATACTGATGAATATTGAAGGTCTGTTCATACAAGCCACTTGTAATTAAATGTCACAGGTCTTGTGCCCTGGGTCTTCCAGTTTTCAAGGGTCTATAGACATGTTTGGGAGCTGAATACAAAATCAACTTCAAAATACAAAAATAAAATTATAGAATTGAAATTGAAGGGTTAAATAAATGCACAAATATGTCAGGTAGTCAGGTGCAGTACTATTAAACACTTATAGCTACGTAGTTATTTTACATGTGGTAGTTGGAATATTTTAATATTTGAAATTATGTGTGGTAGAATGTCAATACAAAAAGTCTGCATAAGCTGGGCCCTGTGGCATGCACCTGAGGCAGGAGAATCACTGGAATCCAGGAGTTTGAGGGCTGAGTGGGCAACATTTAACCCCATTAAAAAAATATATATATTCATCAGGTTCATAAAGGTGGGGCTGAGGAGGTAGCTCAGTGGTAGAGTGCTTATCTACCATGTGCGAGACATCTTAAGTTTGATCCCCAGTTCCCCCCCACACACACAAATTCATAAAGATCTTGAAATTATTATTAAGATTTCATTTGACAATGATGTTTTACGTTGTGTGTGTGTGTGTGTGTGTGTGTGTGTGTGTACATGCGCACACACACACACGTTGAGGATTGAACCCAGGGTGTTCTGCATGCTAAGTAAAAGCTCTGCCTGGGAGCTAAAATCTCCAGCTCCTACTTCCAAAAATATTTTAGTTTGAAAACCAAACAAACTGAACTGCATAACTCTAGAGCTTGCAGATAATGAGAGACTGGTCTGAAATGTGCTCCAAGAAGTTATTTGCTCTTTGCAAGTTATAAGGCCCTGAGGATGGGTAAGGGGTTGGATCCAGAGACCCAAGAGATTTAAATATGCCTGTGTAACCAAGCTGCTGGAGAGAGTCAGAGCCACATAGATATAATCTGAATGTCACATCTGCCTCTTAGCCACAGAGTAACTTTAAGTCACTTAGCTCTATGAGTTCTTTTCTTATCTGTGAATAAAATAAGTAAACCTTCAGAGAGAACTATCAGGCCCTTAGTAGTCTTTATCTCAAAATGTGTCCAGCAGCAAGTGATTCCCCGAGTTGTGACATCTGTCCTCTCCAGCAAAGGTCACAAGAGGCCACACTTCAGATGGCACTTTCCATCCATTCCTGAGGGGCCAAGTGTTAAGAAGGCTAGGACTGGATGGAAAAGTAACACAAAAGTGGGGCAGGGACAGGGTGGTCCCAAACCAACTGGCACGGGGGCGTTAAAAAGGAAGCAGAATTGTGGCAAATTCAGCCCAGTGTGGCGGGAGGGTCATGAGAGTAAGAAAAATGGTCCAGTCTTCACACCTGATCAAATATACACTGTGCTTTGGGTGAAGCTGTGATAGCAGCTGCCTATTCTGGCCTCAGAGCCTGGACAAAGGATCTGCACAAGATAGTGGCTGGAGATTGCAGCTTAAGGGACAGAGCAACTGAGTGCTAGGAACCAAGGAGAGATGACAATCAGGGTGTTTTCTGGCCCAAGGGGAAACCCTGTGTTTAGGAAGAGCAATCTCCATAAAGTTGAAGGCTTCCTCACACCTCCCACACTGGGCCACTCTATTTGTGCAGCATGCAAAGCATGGAACAAGAACTTAGGTGGAAATCATGCCTCCTGAATTTTAGATAAGATTCCAAGGAAACACTGAACTTTATAAAAGCACTTTCCAGACAAGGCCCTAGGGCTTCACTGGCTGTTCATAGTCATGACTAGTGGCTCATGATGCCCAGGGCACTGTCCACACACTCATTTTAAGGACAAGTCTCTTTTATCACATAAGGTTTTTATTGAACTCAAATTCAGGGGCTCCAAAGCCTGAGGAAGACAAGGCAGGCTGGGGTTTGCACTCAAGAGGCCCAGGCCCTACCCCAAGGCCCCAATCCCCACCCTACCTACCCTTTTAACCCCTTCCAAACTCAACAGGGTCTCAGCAGCTACCAATCTAAACTACCCCACTCTAATTAGCCCTCCCTCTCCCTCCCCCCCTCCCCATCTAGCACTTTGCCAAGCCAGGCACCCACGAAGGAGCATGCTGCTGAGGCCAGTTCTCTGCTGACCTCTTTCTGGATCTCTCCCAGTGCCTCCTGCTGCCTGTTTGGCCTCCCTCCAATCCCTCTTCATAGCCCATTTCCCATAAGTCTCTAGGGCATGTAACTTCCTGCACCCTGGCCCTCTTGTAGGATGCTCAATTCTTCCATTCTCCTTCAACCCTTCCACTAATCTCTCTAAAGGTTTCTCTAGCTCCCGGTCCCCTTCTCCTCTGCCCACCGCCTCCCCACCCCTGATGGGTCCCGGGTTAACGCCGGCCAGCCGCGTGGGTCCGCTGGTGGCGAATGAGGTCGGAGCTCTGAGAGAAGGCCTTTCCACAGTCATCGCACTTGTAGGGCCGCTCCCCGCTGTGGACCCGGTGATGCTGCAGCAGCGTGGAAGAGCGGCAGAAGCCCTTGCCGCACACGGCGCACCTGTAGGGCCGCTCGCCCGTGTGTGAGCGCTGGTGTTGAATCAGCGTGGAGGAGCGATTGAAGGTCTTGCCACAGTCGGGGCAGCTGTAGGTGCGGCCTGGCAGGTGGGTGCGGGCATGAATGGCCAACACAGAGCTTTGGCCAAAGCGCTTGCCGCACTCCGGGCACTTGAAGGGCTTCTCACGGGCGTGACTGCGGGCATGGGGGATAAGTGCCGACCKCTGGGAGAAGCTTTTGCCGCAGATGCCACAGCTGAAGGGCCTTTGCCCGGTGTGCACCCTCTGGTGGGTACGCAGGGACGAGTTCTGGCTATAGCACTTTCCGCACTCAGGGCAGCTGTAGGGCCGCTCGTGGCTGTGGGTGCGCTGGTGCCGCAAGAGGTAGGAGCTGTCGCCGAAGGCCTTTCCACAGTGGGGGCACTTGTAGGGCTTCTGGCCAGAGTGGGTRCGCTGGTGGCGAAGCAGGTAAGAGCTGTCAGCGAAGGCCTTGCCGCAACGGGGACACTTGTAGGGCCGCTCGCCCGTGTGGGTGCGCTGGTGTTTGATGAGGTCAGAGCTCTGGGAAAAGGCCTTGCTACAGACCTCACATTTATAGGGCTTCTCACCGGTATGGATGCGCTGGTGCTGGATGAGAGTGGAGCCCCGCCCAAAGCTCTTCCCGCAGATTCCACAGATGTTGGGCCGAGGGCCCTGCCCACCCCTGGCCCGGCCGCCCCGCCGGCCCCGAAGGGTCCCTGTCAGACCCAAGGGATTCTGGAGCATCTCAAATTGGGGTGTTGCCAGTAGGGCCCCCGTAGGCATTTCAAAAGGTGGCCCCAGGGCCAGGGCTCCTGTAGGCTGTTCCCCAAACCCCTGAGTGAAGGAGTCCAGGGGGTGAACTCCTAAGGGGATACTCAAGGAATTCTTTTCCTCTGGGTTCAGAAGCATCTCTGCACCTTCCTGGAATTTAGAACTTTCAGCCTCAAATTCGGGGCTTTGGGTTTTGAACCCAGGGTTCTGGGGTTCAATTCCAGGGTTTGAGGGTTCATATTCCAGGCTCTGGGATTCATACCTGGAGCTCTGAGATTCAAATTCAGGGCTCTGGGATTCATAACCAGGACTCTTGGGTTCATACCCAGGACTCTTGGGTTCATAGCCAGGACTCCGGGGTTCATAACCAGGGCTCTTAGGGTCATAGCCAGGGCTTTGGGGTTCATACCTAGGGCTCTGGGGTTCAAACTCAGGGCTCTGAGGATCTGATTCAGGACTTCTGGGTGCAAACTCGGGGCTTGGGGGCACAAAGCCAGGGCTTCGGGACTCGAACCCCGGGCTTTCAGGCTCAAACCTGGGGCTTTGGGATTCAAACTCTGGGCTTTGTGGCTCAAACCCRGGGCTTTGGGGTTCAAGCCCAAAAGGTATCTCTTCAACTTCATAGTCCCCACTGCCTTCGTGCTGAGAAATTTCCTCTTCCTCATTCTCACTCGAGTTGCCTGCAGGGTCAAGAGAATTACAGAAAATCCAGATTGTGTGGGGACCTGGAAGGTCATTTGATCCATTAGTTGCCACAAACCTCTCCCCGCGCCCCAAGCAGGGTCGCTGACCCTTTGGCAGGTGCTGAAATTCCCAACCCTTCAGAGAAGACCCAGAACATCCAGTCCCCAGCACCCCCCTACCAAGTCCCAGGTGTCCAAGCCCCCGACCCTCTTTCCCTCCCACGGACCAAAGCCCCTTCTCCCGCTCCCGGTACAATCCTCGGAGGAAAGGTCCCTCCCTCACCTTTGAGGGACCCTTCGGGGCTCCCCATTTCGTCAGGACTTTGCACATCCCGGGGCTCCAGACCCCACGGCGACGCCTCCCGCTCCATCCCCGCCAGCTCCCAGTGCAGCAGCGGTGGCGATGGTGAACGATCCTGAGACCCTGCCTGAGTGCCCTGGGACCTGGGCCCTCGCCACTCGCCTGCTCAGCGCCGCCCAGGGCACCCAGCTGCCCAGCCCTGGCCCCCGAGGCCGGACGTCTTGACCCTGGGCCTCTCCGGCCCGCCGAGCCCCTCCCCTACCCGCGGCCCCGCCCCCCTCCCAAGGTCTCGACTTGTCCCGTGGCCCTCACCAGCCCCCGCGCGTCGGGGCCTCGGAGATGAGGGGCTTCACGACTAACTCTGCCGCCCCTGACCACCGCTCCCCGCCCGAGACCCCGCGGTCTGGCCCCCCGGCCCGGGGCTGGGCTGCGGCTCTCCGACCCCCTCCCCCCGCACAGGAAGTGTCCGTCCGCGGCCAGTTCCCCCCGCTGGCTAGCGCCGCGGCCTCTCTAGGAGCGGCTGGAGGTGGAAACTCGTTGGCATTAACCCTGGGCTGGATGGCCCCGGCTTTAGGGCGAGGGGAAATGCAGCGTGCTGGAGCCAGCGGAAGGGGCTAGGGCAGTTGTGTGCCTATATCCTGGGTCTCCGTCTGTCCACGGGCCTGTCTGTCGATCTCCCGAGCCCTGTGTCCCTCAGTGCGTGTGGCCAAGGGCGAGGCGACAAGCGAGACCAAGGTCAGTGAGAAGGAGTGACGCTTCCCGGCGCCAGCGGGGGCGGCGTCTAAATCCCCTCCCCTCCCAGGCCTTCGGGTCAGCTCCGGCCGCACCTCGGAATCCTAGACGGACTCCCCTTTGACCTCATCGCGGCTCTTGAGCCTGGGACTCCCTCGTCGAACTCCGTGTCCCCACACCAGCGCGCCCACCCTCACTCCTCTTCGGCCCCCTCCCCATTCTTCCTAATCCACCCCTCTCCCCTACTGGGAAGGCTAGGATCGTTGCCAAGGAGACAGCCCCGCCTCCGGCTTCCAGAAGCACCTCCCCTAACTTCCCAAAGAGCTCAACGATTGGTCAATGTGGCTAGTGCATTCGCCGCCCCTCCTCCTCCGACTTCGGTGGCTGCCTTGGCGTTAATGGTCGCCAGGGAACCAGAGGCATCTTTATGATTGGCTGAAAGCACTCAGGCCGGTTGCACCTCTGTCCGCCAGAATTGCCCGGGGGAGTGAGTGGGAGGGAGATGCCCGGCGCCTCGGCCCGTGCTTTCAAAACTTTTCCACCCCCATTTGCCCTCAATTATGTTTTATCTTTTTGAGGAATGAAAGCCAAGGGATGTGAGGATAGATACACTTCCTTACCCTCTCTCCCTGCAGTCCTTTCTCAGCAGTTTCCTTCTTCCCATAGGTTCTAAGTGCTGAAGGAACCAGTCCAGAGATCCTCCTGCAGAGAGGAAGCCTCTTTCTTTTTCATTACCCTGTCTCTTCCCTTTACTCTCCTCAAAGCCTGAATTTAACTCAATCCCTGGGAACCTTAGTCCCTGGTACCTGAATTTTCTCACAGGGAAGCAGGATTTCTTGCAGGGGAGGATGACAATGAAGAGTTCAGGAAGAGAATTGACAGAACCACAGGACCGTTTAAGTGATCTAAGAACTTTCTAGTCCTGTCTGGCTTGACTGGATGTTTGTGGAGGAAGAGAACCTGAGAATACTGCCCCAGGTGTAGCTTTGAATGCAGAAGAAAGTGACCCTGAAAAGACAACTTAATATCATCCAATCTTGTCCTTTTTCTGCCCTTCTTGCTGAAACAAGTTAGGTAACATTCTTGACAATTAAGGAGCCAAATTGTCCTGTGTGAATGTTACAGTGGCCATGGATTGTGTGTTTTCTTGCCTAACTGAACAAATAAAGGTAAGAAACTTGTTGGGAAGAAAGATGGCATCTTCCAATATTCCTGAAAAGAGATGAGAACAATTATTTAGATAATACCAAGTGGTAATGATAAATTCCTTCTTAAGATTGGGAGCCATCTTGCACAAAGGCATGAAAAGCTAATTTCGACTTTACTATAAATTACTGCGATTTCTAAACTTGCTTGGAATGCCTGCCCTTTCCTTGAACTCACCGGAGCCTGGCTTTCCCTGACCAGATAACAACTCTCTCTCAAGCTCTAATGGCCCCCATAAATTCTGATGTTGGGGCCAACTAAAATATTAACTAGCCTTTGTGTTATGCTTGTCAAAATTTTGTTATTTGTAAGTTCTCAAACCCCCCTTTGTGTAAATTTCTGTGTTATAAAGCTGTGCTCCTTAGAAAGCTGCCGGGCTATCTTCTGTTCCCACGGTTTTTGGGAGAGACAGCCYGGCCAGTCAAATTATAAGCTTGCTTTAATTTTATTTAAATTAGAGTCGGTGGTCCTTTCTTTGCATCATGGTCTAACAATAAAAGACTGGAGAGAGGGCTTGGATTGTAGCTCAGTGGCAGTGCGCTTGCCTTCTTGCGTGAGGCCCTGGGTTCGATCCTCAGCACCACATAAAAATAAAGATATTGTGTCCTTCTACAACTTAAAATTAAAAAAAAAAAGACTAGAGAGAGAGAGACTTACAAATAGAATTACAGATCTTTTCACAGTGAAATTGAGGCACCTTTCTGCCCTCCAGGGAAACAGCAACCAGTTCTATGCTTCTGTCCTATCACAATATCTGTTTGTTCTAAAATCTTTGCTAAGAGTGATATGTGTGGTGCATCACTAGAGAGCCCACATAGCCAGAACACCCTACAAAGTGCACTGATTGTGGGAAGAGCTATACATGAGGCCACCTCTTGTCCCCAAAGCACGAACACAGGTAAGAAACAAAAGTTTCCTTTACAACTTTTCTCTGACTTCTAACTTGTTTATTCACCAGAAGATTCACAGAAGAGCAACCAAATTCTACAAAATGTGTGGCAGGTCCTCCAGCCACAGCTCTGACACAGTCCATTGCCTGCATTCTTCTTATCATGAGTCACAAACCCAAAGTGTGGCAGAAGTCAGGCCAGGACTTCCAGCTGCTCTGGCACCAGCATTTCCACAGGGAAATTCAGCCACCTTTGTCCCTAGAGGAAAAGAGTGGCTGACTTCCAGTTCACCTCCCCCAACACTGGGTCCTGTCTATGCAAAGGGCCTTCAAAGGGTATCCAGCCTCCACTTGCCACACACCCACAGAGTGAGAAGTTCTAGCAGATGGTGCAGTCCCCTCTGATAAGTAAGGRTTACAACTTCACTGCAAGGCATAGAAAACTTAGGAGTCCACTRGACTTGTTCTACCACTGTGTCCATAGTGAGGAACCCTGTGCACGTCCTGAGCTGAGTGGCCACCTTGTCCACTCAGGGTAAAGGAGCCTGGGGCAGAACCATTCAGTTTAGGGACAAAGTATTGGACAACATTTCAGGGCCCATGCTAGAAAGAGCTTCTCAATGTGTGAAGGACTTCTGCGTGAACTGTCTCTTCCTGCAAGCAAAAGACAAGTCCTCTAAAAGGCCTCTGTCAGGCATGAGAAGAGATGCCCCAATATAGTCAACATGATTTGAGGTGCCCAGGAGAGACCAGCTAAGGCACCGGAAAAATAAAATGTGGTCTTTGTACCAGGGCAGGTCATCCCCTGGCCTGACACATTTGGGACAGACCCTGGAACCAGCCACTATTCTTGCAAAACTAAGAACAGTGAGGGGCTTGGGATGCAGTTGATGGTAGGGTGCTCACTTAGCATATACGAAATTCCTTTTAAGTGATCTAAGAACTCTCCAGTCCTGTCTGGCTGAGAGGAAGAGAATCCAAGAATACTGCCCCAGGTATAGTTTTGAATGCTGAAGAAAGTGACCCTGGAAAGACAAGTTCAATCTCCAGCACCACCTCAAAAAAAAAAAAAAAAAAAGGGTAATTGGAAAATGACCTTTTGTTCAGAGGAGTAGTTCTCTTGAACTTTAGCAGACATAAAATTCCATCCCTGGAGATTCCGATTCAATAGGCTAGAGGCAGAGCCCAGAGCCAGGGAGCTTGCTACATTTTTAAAAAGGCACCCCATGTGATAATTGTGACAGGGATCCCTTATTTTGGAAATATAATCGGCCCTCTGTATCTGTGGGTTCTGCATCCACTAATTTGACCAAATGTAGATTTAAAATATTTGGGAAAAAAATACATCTGTTTTTGTTTTGAATATGTATAGACTTTTTTTGGTCTTGTCAGTATTCTCCACACAATAAAGTATAACTGTTTATGTAGCACTTGTTGTATTAGGTATTTAAGTAATCTAGAGATGATTTAAAGTATACAGGCAGATGTGTGTAGGTTATATGCAAATACTACACCATTTTATACAGGGGACTGGAGCATTTGTGGATTTCAATATCTATGGGGATCCTGGAACCAATTCCCCAACCTTGAAAACAACTGTACTGGCCTAGAGCAAGGTTTAGCTTCTTTGGATCATAAATTTCTTTATGTGTCCTATTCCTAGAAAGACAAATGTTCTGAGGAATTTTAGGGGGTCTTTGGAATTCAAGCTCTTACCTGCCCTTAAATTTTAAGTGGTCTGGTCAAGCTAGGGGTGAGTGATGTGGCTGTAGCTTTTACTTCTCACCCTGGTTGGCTTTTCACAGAGGGCTTATCTTGTCTAGTGCTGACAAGTGTTTCTTCCAATGCACCTGTGAAACCTTGGGAAACCCCTCAACTCAAGATGTTGAGGCAGAGCGCATTTGAGGCCAGCCTTAGTAATTTAGCAAATCCCTAAGCAATTTAACAAGATTGTATCTCAAAATTAAAAAAAAAAAAATAGGGCTGGGGATGTGGCCCTGTGGTAAAGCACTGTTGGGTTCAATTCCTAGTAAAAACAAAACTAAACAACACCTCTTCCTTGTTTAAATTGTTYCTGAAGCTGAGCCTCAAAGACCCACAAAAGCAGAAAAGGGAGCCCTACTTTTGGTGGAAGTATTTGTGCCAAGAAATGAGCAGCTGAGAATAAGATGGGGCTGAGGCCCAAGGGTTTCATGACCCTAAAGACTTGATTAAACAGTGGAAARTCGTGTCATGAGAGCAGGAAACAGAGGAGTTGAGTCTGGTTTCTTTCTCAGTTGAGCCCTGAGCAAGCTTTGCAAACTTCAAAGCACTCAAACATGTTTAAGTTGCAATTATGGCACCTTTAATTGGCAAGCTGAGGGCAGGGGCCAGATCTGGCTTGAATCTGAGCTGAGAACTGGTGTTGCAAACTGGGATTTCCCCAGGCAGCACTGAGCCCCAGGGAGGGGCTGGGGCTGTAAACTGGGAATTAAAATCTGGTTTAAAGGTAGCTCCTACTGCCAAGGTGCCTCTTCTCACCTCCGGTTCCCCTTGTGATAAGGTGACACATAAAACAATCCTCCCCAGAAAAGGTTAAGATTAGGAAGACCTTAATGGAGTCAGRTTTGAAGATTAGGTGGGTAGAGTTCATTACTTCACCAGAACAGTGCCTTTTCTCCAAATTTTCTACCTTTTCAGAAGTTCCTTGAAGTTGACAGGCCTGCTTTCTTCCTCTCAATCACAGGGCTAAGACAGGTGAACAAGCAAGTGCACATAGGATAGCTAGGACATAAGCCCTGTCATGACTCCATGAAGTGAAGGGTCTTCCTGACCAAGGGAAGTCAGGGTTCACCCATGCTGGCTGTTCCCTGCCACATGCGTGAGGCTGGACTTGAACCACAAAGGAATTGGTGGTAATGGAGTCACAGGGCGATCAGGAAGTTTCTGCAAAGCTTGGAAACAGATGGTACAGTTCCTTCATAATGCCACATGGCTTCTGACCCCATCCCCCTTTGTTCATTATGGCAGGTACCAAAAGAATGAAGATGCAAGATTTGCTTTTGTTGATTTGCAACTCTCATCTTGGGCTGGGTTTTCTCTTGCCTGAGTCTGTCACATGGCTGTTCTCTAAGGCCCATCTTATAACTGGGATCGACTATCCCCAACCAGGTCAGTGCCTAGGTGTTATCACAAGGAACAGACAGATGCCTCTAAACCCTCACTGACAAGTTGGCAAGGAACACAYGAATGGTATGATGAAAATGTCAACAGTCAGGCACAGTGTGTACATCTGTAGTCCCAGCTACTCTGCAGGATGGGGCAGAAGATTGCTTGAGCCCAGGAGTTCAGGGCCAGCCCGGACAATATAGTGAGACCATATCTCCCAATCCCAGTGGCTTCGGAGGCTGAGGCAGGAGGATTGCCAGTTCAAAGCCAGCCTCAGCAACTTAGCAAGGCCCTAAGCAATTAGCMAGATCCTGTCTCTAAATAAAATATTCAAAAGGGCTAGTGATTTGGTTCAGTGGTTAAGTGCCCCTGGGTTCAATCCCTGGTACCAAAAAAAAAAAAAAAAAAAAGAAAAAAGAAAAAAGAAAAAGAAAGAAAGAAAAAAAGGACAATTAAGAACCTTGGAGTTTCACTGTGTATGTGTGACGTTGGGGGCAGGGTGCGTAGCCTCACCTGATCCCAATGTCCCCAATTGCAAAGGGTCAAGAAAAATAAATCTTCAATTAAAAAGTGTGAGGAGAGCTGTGGATATAGCTCAGTTGTAGAGTGCTTGCCTTGCATGCACAAGGCCTGGGTTCAATCCCCAGCACCACACACACACACACACATAATAATAATAATAATAATAAAGTGTGAGGAGGCCTTCTAGGGTAGCTAAGAAGGCTTGAGCCCCAAGGGTTTCTCAGAAAGGTCCAAGGAGGACTAGGAAGAAATCTTGGGGCCTTCCCCTTCAAAACCAGGACCTGCCAGGTGTGGTGGCACATGCCTACAATCCCAGTGACTCTGGAGGCTGAGGTAGGAGGATCAAAAGTTCAAGGCCATTCTCAGCAACTTACTGAGGCTCCAATCAACTTAGCAAGACCCAGCCTCAAAATAAAAAATAAAAAAGGGCTGGAGATGTGGTTCAGTGGTTAACACCCCCGGATTCAATCTGTGGTACCAAAACCAAAACCAAAAAACCAGGAGCTGCTGATCACCTGAGAGTGGTACTGTAGCATGGCAGATGTCACACTTGGTTTGATTCGGCCCTTACTGCCTCATCCTGACTAGGCTGTCTCCTTCAAGCAAGATGCTTCCTTTCCTAGGCTGTTAAAAGAGTGAAATGAGTTTATGGACGAGATAGAACTTTGTAAACCATAAAACAGGAGAGAAGCAGAGATCTGATACAATCCTTGCTGTTACTTCCCACTTGCCACATTCTCCCATATATACTCATTGCTATTCAAGAAAACCCAAACACTGTAGACCTTGGTTTGTAAACTCAAATGACTCCTTGGGGGCTCAGCAGGTCCAGAGGGAGAAGACCTGCTTTGTCAAAGACATTGATTGGTTCAAGAAACAATTTACTTTATCTTTTTGCTTTAAGAAAAACACTGAAAACACTAAAAAGCAAGCCATGGTTAATGGCTTATCAGCAGTCAGGAGCTGATAAGGAGTGTGGGCTGTGCTTATAGAGCTCTGGCTTCACTGAGGAAGCAGCTGTTGATCTGCTTCTGCCAGCTATGGTTTAATGGGAACTTAGGTTAGGTCAACTTGCCAAATCTTTGGACTTTTCAAGAGAAGCTAGAAACCTAGATTTTTGTGTGAAATACCCCGATTTTTATTATCATTATTATGTGGTGCTGGGGATTGAAACTAGAACTTTGCCCATGCTAGCCCTTTTCAATTTTTTGTTTGAGACAGGGTCTCCCTAACTTACTGAAGCTGTCCTCAAACTTGCAATCCTCTTGCCTCAGCCTCTTGAGATTTAAAAATCTTGGGTTGCTAATTTATAACACTGAAAATGCTGCCTGGGTCAGCCCTGATTCAAGATGCAGCCGGGAGTTTTAACTTCTAACTCTTTAGAGACAATTGGTCAAACAAGGTTCTTTTTGACTTCAATCCTCTTGATACTTCTGAGCTGAAAAACTGCCTTTTTTCCCCCAGAGGGAGGTCCAGTGAGGGTTATACAGCCCTACCTCAAATGAGAGGGGGAGAGCTTCTAGAACCTGGGGAGCAGGGAGCAATGCATCAGCAGATGAAGCTGGTGAGGCTTGTAAGACCATCCTCAGTCCCCAGGTTCAGCTTTTAATTACAAATTCTGTGACTTCCCTGGWCGTCACCAGAGAAGTTCATGCCCCTGAGCTCATCTGGGGCTTCAGACTAGGTCTAGATCTTCACCCTCTGCCTGTCCCCCACACTCCTGGAATATCTCTGGATAAAGCTGAAAGCTTACAGGTGGGTCCAGGTCCCCTGGGCCAGGATCCAGGGTCACAAGCAACCCACCAGCCCCCCGACCCCTGCGGACCCCAGCTCCTGGCCGATGGACCCACTGATGCTTGGCCATGGCTGACTTCTGGCCAAAGCACCTGCCACACTGAGGGCAGGGGTAGGGTCGCTCGCCACTATGGGTACGCCTATGGGCTGCCATTTCAGAGCTCTGCCGGAAACATCGCCCACAGTCTGGGCATGGGTAGGGCTTCTCGCCTGTGTGGGTGCGCAAATGGCGCCGAAGGTCTGAGGCRTGGGCAAAGGCCCGGCCACAGTCTGTGCAGGGGAAAGGGGTCTTGCCGCTGTGCACCCGCTGATGCTGGTGAAGGGCAGAGCTCTGGCTGAAGCAGCGGCCACAGTCAGCACAGCGGTAGGGCTTCTCGCCGGTGTGGACGCGCAGGTGGGTAGTGAGGGCGGAGCGCTGCGTGAAGGCCCGGCCACAGTCGGGGCAGCGGTGGGGCCGCTCCCCTCGGTGGATGGCCCGGTGCTTACTCAGGGAGGAAGCCCGGCCAAAGCCCTTGCCACAGTCAGGGCAGCAGAAGGGCTTCTCTCCTGTGTGGGTGTAGAGATGCTCCACCAGTGTGGAGCGCCAGGCGAAACTCTTGCCGCACACATAGCAGCCATGACGCTGATCTGCTCGTGGGACAGATGGGTGGGCACGGAGCGGAGGGCGACCCCGGTGACGGACCTTGGACCGCCTCTCTAAGCCGGAAAGGAACCCAGCTGAGGATGGTTGGGGGACCTTCTGCCCAGGAATTCCAGAATCCACAGAAAGTGTCTTCTCCAGCGCTTCTGGCTCTTCCCTTTCCCTTTTTATTTCCTTGTTTCTGGAATCTGATGGAAGACAGAGGCAAGAGCTCAGACTCAGGCTCATCCTAGTCCTTGAATCCCACAACCTGCACAGTGACACRCCTCTCACATACACCACTTTCTGGACCCACGGCTGTCTCTGGGACTTAGTGAAGAATGGGCAGAGGATCTTGAATGAACACCTTTCATCAGCTTTAGGGACAGAAAGGAGGGGAGGGAAGAGCAGTATATTGTCCCTCAGGGATAGGGAAATGGCACTTGAGGACAGGAGAGGTACCATTTGGACTGGATCAAGAAAGATGAATGGATGCTTATGGATGTTCCCAGAGGCAGAAACAGCTTAAAGAAAGGCATGAATGAGGCCAGCAATGACAAAGTAATGGAGGCTGAGCCCTTGAAGAACTAAAGAAATACAGCAATAAAAGCCAAGAGAAAATGAACTGCAACACACAGGTAGTAGAGAAGCCAGAGTAATGATGTGTGTGTGTGTGGGGGGGGGGTAGCAACAGAGCTTAGTGACCAAATAGGTGTGAGAGCTCAAAGGAGTGGAGACAGGTGGGCCCAGCCGCCTCTTTCTAGGCTGAGTCCAAAAGCCAGGCAGGGGCCAGGAATGATGGTTTCGGCTGAGACGCAATTCAGGGAAGAAAATGCTAAGCAGGTAAGTCCCCTTGAGCCTGAGTACATATTCACCTGTATCTGCTTCTGTTGGGCACTTGGCGACCTCGGGATCCTGGGCATCCGGATGCCACAGTTCGGCCTCTTCCTCCACCCAGGAGATGAGCGCTGGCTTGGTGCCTCCGCCTCCTGGGAAAAAAGAACGCAAACCCCCGCGTTGTGGAGAGGCCACCCCACACTGTCCCGACTTCCCCGACCTGGGGCCTCCCACTACGCGGGCAGAATCCAGGGTACAGGGGGCATGTGGGCGCCGGCGGGCAGGCAGGGCTCTCACCGAGAGCGCTCAGGTGGAGGTAGGTCTCGCGCATCACGTCCCGGTACAGCGCCCTTTGCGCCGGCCGCAGGCACCCCCACTCCTCCAGGGAGAAGTACACGGCCACGTCCGCGAAGCTCACGGCCCCGGGCTCCCTGCACTCGGCCCCGGCCCCATTCGGTTCCCGGGCCGGGACAGGAGCCAGAGGCGGCGCCATGGAAACTGCCAGCTCCGGCGACAGGCCAGCCACCTCCCCCTACCGAACCTGGCTCTGCGGAGCGTCCCGCGCTTAAGAACGCCTCCCCAGCCCGGGCTCAGGGTTCGGAGGGCGGGAATTAGGACCCAGACAGGGCAAGACCGGGCCTCTCCTGGGCCCACTGGAGTGGATGAGAACTGAGAGCGACGGATACATAATCAGAACCGGGAGTTGCCTTCATAAAAATGGCGGCAACACGGCCTCTCGAACTTTGCTCCCACGCCGTCATGCCCACGGTGATGCCAGCCGGGTATTTCCCCGCCGCTTTGTCTTCCAGCCCTCATCCAAAATGGCCGCGGCGGCTGCAAGTGCCAGTCCGAGAACCCGCCGCGCGCCCCTGAGCCGGGTGGGCTAGGACTCCGCGAGCGGAGGGCGGAGCTGCTGCCCTATCGGGGTTCAGGCSGGGTCCCTTGCGGAGAGTCGCTGCGGGCCCGAACTGATGATCGCTGTGCTTTTGGGGTTGGGAAGTTARTTTGCTTTTCTGGGCCGTTCTTGTTGTGTTATTAGCTCAAAATTGTATGATAGCAGCCATTTCTCAATGTTGACAGTTAAAAATTAAAAAAAAAAAAAGATAAAAGAGAATCTTTTCTATTGGAAACTTGTTCAAGACTAAAATTCTGGGCACACTAGGTAATGGGGCCACTAGCGAGCCTAGCCTAGTGTCTCAGAAAGGACAGAAGAACCCTTTTGTGCAAGCTGATACTCCCCCCACCTTCCCTGCAGGACCCACCTTTACAGGTCGACTGCCTTCCTGGCTAGGCCTGGATGTCATTCAAGCACCTGGAATTCCACATGCCTCAAACTGATCTCTTAGAGAATGGGTATGGCTCAATGGTAGAGGGTTTGAMGGTATGTGTGCCACTCTGGGTTCCATTGTTAAACCTTAATGTAAAGAAAAGACCACCCACTCCAATTTAAATCAAATTAAAGCAAGCTTGCAATTCCCATCAGCCCAGGCTGTCTCTCCCAAAACCCGTGGGAATAGAAGACAGCCCTCCAGCTCTCTAGGATCGCAGTTTTATAGCACCAAAAAGTTGCAAAAGAGGAGTGTCTTGAGAACTTACAGATAATAGGATTTTGATAAGCATAATACATAGGCAGATAATAATTTAATGGACTAGGGGCTGGGGATGTGGCTCAAGCGGTAGCACGCTCACCTGACATGCGTGCGGCCCGGGTTCGATCCTCAGCACCACATACAAGCAAAGATGTTGTGTCCGCCATAACTAAAAAATAAATGTTGAAATTCTCTCTCTCTCTCTCTCTCTCTCTCTCAAAAAAAATAATAATAATAATAATTTAATGGTCTAAATGGTTCAGCACTTAAGGAGTAAATTTAGATCCCAACATCAGAATTTATGAGGCCACTAGAGTTTCAGAGAGGGTGGTTATCTGGCCAGGGAAAGCCAGAATTTATGGGGGCCACTAATGTTTCAGAGAGGGTTGTTATCTGGTCAGGGAAAGCCAGGCATGGGTGAGTTCAAGGCAAGGGCAGGCATTCCAAGCAGGTTTAGAAATCGCAGTAATTTATAGTAAAGCCGAAATTAACTTTTCATGCCTTTGTGACGAGATGGCTCCCAATCTTGAGAGAATTAGACTGGGTTTATCAGCATCMCCAATACTGCAAAAAGCAAAAACAAAATAAACTGACAAACTGAACTCACYTTCTTTCCCAAGCACACTCCCAACCTCAGGTCTTCTATTTAAACAAGTGTCACCATCTCTAACCCTAAAACTCCCTCTTGTTTATTTCTTAAAATATTTTTGGTAGTTGTAGATGGACAGAATGCCTTTATTTTMTTTATTTATTATGTGGTGCTGAGGATCAAACCCAGTGCCTCACATGTGCTAGACAAGTGCTCTGCCACTGAGCTAGAGCCCCAGCCCTCCCTCTCATTTATTGACTGCCAGCTCTGCTCCCACATGCCTTCATACATACCCTGCCCTAGGGAGACTTGGTATTTTTCTCTGGGCAGGCTAAATCAATCACAGCATTTYGCGTGCTTCATGAAAAGACTTCATCTCTTCAACAAGTTTGCTGTGAAGCTTTCACCTGACACTTTGCTTAGTGGATGCTTTTCCCCACACCCAGGGTAGCTGGGCAAATAAAGAGTTGATCACAGCAGACTGAGGAGGAGACAAAAGAGCTTGGGCAGGGAAGACTGACTGAAGAGTGGGCTGGAAAGGGTGAGGGTGTAGAGTTGCTCCCAAGGGTCTACACCAACAGCCCTGGTTCTCCCAGTCTCTCAGGCCCCAGAAGGACACAGAGAACATTGAAAACTTCCCTTAAGAGCAATGACATTTTGTCACCTCTCAGTGCCCACTCCCTGAGTGACTCGTCACCCACAGACTAGGAAGACTTATGGGGGGTCTGGACCCTTCTAGGGAAGAACCAGGAGCAGAGTTCACACCCCTGGAGGTGAGCCCCTAAGGGCCATGGGACCACAACATTGGGTCCCCCAGTAAGCCTCTGACTGAAGTATGGCCCACTAAAGGAAGACATAAAAACACTGTTCCAATGTTACTCCCTGTGGTAGAAACAGGTGCTACAGGCAAAAGGTCACTCCATGCAGTACCAACTGGGCCAGACTGAAGATTTTGGCAAATCATGACTACACTTGGGAACAGCCATGAGGTTGCTGGGTGAGTGCCAGGTGTTTGAAACCTGGCACAGATTGAGGGTTTGGGGAAGGTTTGGGATACAGAGAGCTGGCCTCTTCTAAATGTTTTTTTTTTTTTTTTTTTTTTTCCTGAGTGGCTACTCAGAAAGAAACAAGTAGTTTTTTTTTTTTTTTTAAACAAAGATTTTAAAAAAAAATCTATCTTCCATTCCACACCCTGCTCTGGGACCTCCCCAAGGGTTACTTACATTTAGGTAACAGCATCAAACTTCACAACAGCAGAAGGATTCAGATGGGTAGCTAGCCCCTGGGAGCCACCCGACCCCTGAACTATGCTGGGCAATTGAGGGGCTTACCAGGTAGGGCCAATCACACATTTTAGGATGGATCATAAGAGCAACTATTACAGTGCTTAGGGAAGTGGAGATGGAAAGGTGTAACACCTCCAACCTAAATTTGAATTCACACTCTGCCACTGACCTCAAGTTTGAATGATTCATATAGTGTGGCCTGATCATGGTACCACTGGAGCCTCAAAGCCAATTACGTGAGAAGAAGGTCAAAATCTCAGGCTCTAGTGTGTGTTAGAAATTCAGGTCAGCAGAAATTAGTAACACTGGCAGCAAAGAATATGTAGATGATGTTTCTTGCTCAACAGAACATCCTCTCTTCTAGCTGGAACCAGTACACTGTCCCTACTGGCTTTCAGGTTTCTGCCTTCCTATTGATCCTGAGTATCTGTGCCTCACAGCTGAGATTCTTCCTTCACCCAAGAGATGAAGGTGGTTTGGGGTCTAAGAATCCTGGGGAAAACACTCATTACTYAAGAAACCTATCCTAAGATTACCTGTGCATAGCGGAGCATGGTTGCACATGCTTATAATCTCAGCAACTCCAGAGGCTAAGGCAGGAATTCGAGGCCAGCTGGGGCAATTTAGCAAGGCCCTAAGCAACTTAGTGAGACCGTTTCAAAATAAAAAATAAAAAGGGCTGGGGATGTGACTCTGTGGTTAAACTCCCCTGGGTTCAATCCCTGGTACCACTCCCCCCCCCACCCCCACCAAAACTACCTGTGTACTAATTGAATGAAAGTGGAGCATCTCTTCCATTCAGGGCAGATGTTCTGCATGTTGRAGTCACTGTTGAATCAAAATGAAGTTTCTGCTCTAAGTTTTCAATAAGCTGAGGGAGAGAGACACCAGGTATGAGTTTCGTTGGCACAAGTTTCTAGAAGATCTTCTGGGCAGATTGTATAGAACTTCATGACTATACAAATAAGACACAGAGCCATGGTTCTGAGTAGGGTTCTAGCATAGGGTAGAAGGGATTCATAAGACCCCCCCACACCAATATTGAACTGAGGGCACTCTACCACTGAACTATATCCTCAGTCCTTTTTTTCATTTTTTGAAACAGGGCCTTGCTAAATTGCTGAGGCTAGCCTTGGACCTGAATGCTCTTGCCTCAGCCCCTAGAGTCGCTGGGATTTAGAGGGGTAAGCCACCAAACCTAGCTCCAGGGGGAATTTCTGGAGGTAGCATTTGAGAGCATTGAAGGATGAGTTAAATTTGGAGGTGTAACCTAAGTGGGACTGCCTCTCCGAAGGTAGAGAGCTGGTTGGAATTCCAAGTGATGCAGCATGCCGTCCACTGTGGTATATACACTCCCGAACTTTTTACAGTGGGTTCTGATAGGCCATTGGAGGAATGTGGCAGGGGGAAGCAGCTAGGAATTTCAGTGAGGTTGACCTGGAGAGGGAGGAATCAATCTGGGGCAGGAGTGAAGGCGAGTCAGACACAAGGCCCTGCCCATGCCACCCATCTTTTCCTTTTTCAGAAATCCCCACCAGCTAACGAACACGTGTGCACCCCGCATAACGCAGACACCCCACTATCCCAGGCCACGTCTGCGAAGCTCACAGCCTTCGATCTCTCCCCTTCTCAGTTCTTCACTGGCACAACGGGAGGGAAACAAAAGAGTTCCGCTAACCCAGAGAGCGACGCTAAGGAATCTGGGGGCCAAGGCGGGGAATMGGGAGCTCGGCGACCGGAAATACCTTTGGGTGCGTCCGCTCTAGGACCGCGAGAAACTCAGGTTACACGAACTCAGTGGTGCGGGGGCTAGAAAACTAAGGTGACCTCAGAAAAGATGGCTGCGTCCTAGGCTCTATTCATTTTAGAAAAAGTCCCTGAATAGCTTGAATGTCAACCTGGTGTCAGTAACCTGGATTATTCCCCCTAGAAACACTCTGTCCTCTGTTCCTGAGGGTCCCTTGGCGGCTCCACTTGCCCATAGTTAATATGGCCCCGGTTGCTTCGGGTTATGAGCTCAGGGAGAGCGGCGGCGAGTGATCCAGAAGTGGAAAAAGATGGGGTCAGGGAACCTGGTGCCCCCCCCGCCGCCGCCTCAATTTCTGCAAGAAGGTATAACCAGCGATCTTTTTTAAAAAAAAAAAAAAACTCTTTTAAAATGTTATTAAAAATTTCATTGGGCTGGGGGGTGTGGCTCAAGCGGTAGCGCGCTCGCCTGGCTTGTGTGCGGCCCGGGTTCGATCCTCAGCACCACATACAAACAAAGATGTTGTGTCTGTTGAAAACTAAAAAATAAATATTAAAAAAAAATTTWAAAAAAATTTCATTGACCAGGTGCGGAAGAATATTCAGTGACGTCACTTCCTATTCAATTTCTTTATTATCGGTTTCTTAAGTATTCCTGAACAGAAGTCATATTTACTAGCTCTGAGGACACTGGGCAGAATATCTCTCAATGCCTTAGGAGTTCAACGTCGTCTGAGAAAAGAGAAAGCTGAAACCCGGCTGTTAGCCAAAGGCAGATACCCCTTCAGTGATTGCAGGTCTTCAGCCTTTCCCAGCGCCTCACACTGCCTCCTCCAGGTGTGTGCCAGAAAAGCTACGTGAACACKTTGAATATGCTGACCCCTGCTGACCATATGAAAAGGAGCTGGATTTTAAGTGTATTAAGGTATGATTGTGTAAAAAATTAGGTGCATTAATGGATGACAGGATTCATTTGTTTCATTTATTTATTTTCAATTTTTTTGTGGGTGATACGGATTGAACCCAGGGCTTTGATCATGTTAGGAAAACGTACCACTGAGCTACATTCCCAGCTCCTTGTTTGTTTTTAAAGCTCCACTTCCTTGAATTTCCTAATTCCAGGCTCTCCAGACAGAAGATAATAGCCCACTCTACAAAACTGCACTTGGTTCTGTGATATGACTAAAGAGATTAGTAGTATTTGTTTACCTTAATTGGTCATTTACTATGTACAAGACTTTAAGTGCTGCAGGGCAAGGTGGCAAAGCCTGTAATCCAGCAGCTTGGGAGATTGAGGCAGGAGAATCGTGAGTTCAAACACAACCTCAGCGAAAGCGAGGTGCYAAGCAACTCTGTGAGACCCTGTCTCTAAGTAAAATACAAAATAGGGCTGGGGATGTGGCTCAGTGGTTAAACACCCCTTGGTCCAATTCCTGGTTTAAACACACACATACACACACACACACACACACACACACACACACACACACTTTAAGTGGTCTTTCTGGTTAACTCATTAAACAACTCTTCAGAGATAGGTAATCTCATTTATCAGGAAGCTAAGGACCAGAGATTATCTTCTTCAGGCTACAGAACTAGTGAGTAGTGGAGCCAGGATTGAAATCCAGGCAATCTGACTCCAGAACACATGCTGGAACACACAGAATTGAGAAGGCACTTTTTTTTTTTTTAAGAGAGAGAGAGAGAAAGAGAATTTTAATATTTATTTTTCAGTTTTCAGCGGACACAACATCTTTGTTTGTATGTGGTGCTGAGGATGGAACCTGGGCCGCACGCATGCCAGGCTGAGCCACATCCCTAGCCCAAGAGAAGGCAATTTTTCAACAACCAGAGAGAAGTAGAATTTGAGGCCAGATAGAGTAGTAACATGGGGTAGTGCAAGAAGCAGGGACCTAGAGATCAGAAAAGATACTTCGGGCCTCATGCACTGTTCCACAGTCCTATAACCCTGAAAAGAAAAGCTAAAAATAATAGGCTATGATAAGCCATGAAAAGTAAATAAGAAAGATATATTTAAGGGTCATGTAAAAGAGGAAGAAAGTCGTTTCATGTGTATAGGAGGTATGTGAAATTGCCCAGGAGGAAGGATGACAGGAACAAAAGGTGCCCTGTGGGCTTCTCTGATTCAGACCCTTACAGATTTAAGTCTGGGGTCTCCTTGCTGGTCTCTGGGCGCCTAGCCTTTTGCCTTTCCCATCCATCCTTTGTGACAGTCTGTTGTAGTGAAAAKAAATGAGAAATCAGGAGGTTTAGGTTTCAGACTTGTCTCTGCCACTGACTCAACTGTGTGACCTTCAGTAAGTTCCCTCCTATCTCTGGGCCTCAGCTTTCTCTGACTATATTCTGTGGAACGGTATTCCCACAAAATGCCCTATGGGGGAAAAATAATAATTTTCCTCCATGTCCCTTAGAGAGTCCCTTTAACATATTTAAGATACAGGGCAGTCTTCAGAAAGAAACCTAAGGCCAGATGTGGTGGTATATGCCTGTTGTCCCAGCTATTTGGGATGCTGAAGCAGGAGGATCCCTTGAGCCCATGATTTGGAGACCAACCTAGGTGAGACTCTTACTCAAAAAAAAAAAAAAAAAAAAGAAAAAAGAAAGAAAAGAAAAGGGAAGAAGAAAGAAAGAACCAGGTGTAATGGCACATGTCTGTAATCCCAAGTAGGAAGCTGAGGCAGGAGAACTTCAAATTCAATGCCAGCTTGGGCAACTTAGCAAGACCCTATCTCAGATTTAAAAAAAAAAAAAATAGAAAGGGCTGGGGATGTACCTCAGTGGTCGAGCACCACTGGATTCAATCCCTAGTACCAGAAAGAGAGAATGAGGCTGAGGATGTAGCTCAGGGATAGAGTGCTTTCCTAGCATGTCTGAGGCCCTGAGTTCCATCCCCAATACTGAAAAAAGAAAGGAGGGGAGGGAGAGGGGAAGGAAAGAACTGCATCCACTGCTTTCCAAACCGTGCTTAAAACACTGACCCACAGGAGTTTTAGAGGCTTAAAAGCCCACCCCAGGGCTACCCAGGAACTGGCTCCTCCATCTTCCTCTTCACTCAACCTGAAACCATCATTCMAGGCTCCTTTGATGCTCCCCACACTTAGCCAAAGAAGGAAGCAGGTGCTTCTTGTTAACCTCTAGCCTCATCTGCAACTCTCCATCTCCACCCTTCCTCTATCCTCCTCTATAGTTCATTCTCAGAGCAGCCAAAGTGTGTTTGTTTGTTTAATGCAAATCAGATCTAATTAAGGGGCTGGGGATGTGGCTCAAGCGGTAGCGTGCTCGCCTGGCATGCGTGCGTGCGGCCCGGGTTCGATCCTCAGCACCACATACAAACAAAGATGTTGTGTCCGCCAAGAACTAAAAAATAAACATTAAAAATTTCTCTCTCCTCTCTCACTCTCTCTTTAAAAAAAAAAAAAAAAGATCTAATTAACATGCTGCCTAAACCCCCAGTGGTTTACACCAAGCACATACAGGAGTCAACTTCACACACAAAAAGGGACAGTGGTTGCCAATGGTTGCGGGGAGGGAGGAATATGGAGTCAGTGTTTCATGGGTGCAGAATTTTAATTGGGGAAAATGAAGAAGTTCTGGAGCCTGATTGGGTTTTTATTTCTTTGTTGTTGTTGTTGTTGTTAATTTTTTGTTGTAATTGTAGATGAACAAAATGCCTTTATTTTATTTGTTAATTTTAGGTGGTGCTAAGGATCGAACCCAGTGCCTCAWGCATGCTAGGCAAGCGCTTTGCTACTGATCTGCAGCCCCAGCCCATGATGGTTTTGATAGTCATAAAACAATTTGAATGTAAAGCCACATGATGAGGTTTCAGTCCATAGCAAGTACAACAACTGTCTCAAGGGATTATGTTGCCAGGTGATGTCAAATCCTTCTTAGTTTAAGTACTCTRTGATATTCACACAACAATTAAGTGGCCTAAGGCAGCATTCCTCAGAATGAACCCCTGTGCTTAATCAACACATGATTGTATTTATAGCCACTGTACTGTGTACTTAAAAATAGTTTAGGTGGGAGTGGGGAGTATGGCTCAATGGTAGAGCAATCGACAAGTATGTGCAAGGCCCTGGATTTAATCCATAGCACTGTACAAACACAATCCTGGTATATTTAGAACCAAGTCCAAACTTTGCATTCTTGCAACCAGAGCTTCTGTGACCTGCCCCTTCCCCTTCTCCACACCATCTGTAAATCTGTACTCTGCTCTTGGGTCCAAACACAGGTGTCTTTTCTGTACCTCTCCCAAACTCATTCCTAGTTCAGAAGGTTCACTTGCTGTTCCCTGTACCCCCTACTCTTTCCATCCCAAAACCCGCAGCCCCGAGACCCTTTCCTCTCCAACTCCCATGGCTCCTCAACAGATCTGTAGGGTCTAGGCTTCTTCCACAAATCTCACTTCACATGCTTTGCAAAGACATCTTCTGACAACACCTATCAAACAGTCCTGCTTTTGTTCAGGAACTTCCTATGGTTCCTCAGTACCTGCAAAATAAACTTCAGACTCTTCTGCTGGGATGGGTTGCTCTCTCAGATTGACCTGTTATAGCTTAGATATGAGATGTCCCCTAAGGTCATGTGTGAGACAATGCAAGAAGGTTCAGAAGTAAAATGATTAGATTATGAGAGCTTGAATCTAATCAATGGATTAATCCACTGATGTGGATTAACTGGATTATAATTGAAGTGGCACCCTCTTTCTCCCTAGAAAAGACTTTAGCTGGGCTTCTCTAGAAATCATCACCCAGACTGATTTTAGGACTATCAGCAAAAGAGTCTCTGCAAAAGAGTTCAGTGTAGATAAACTTCCTATTTTCCTGCCACCCTATTTTACTTGGCCACTGGCTGAGAAGATACCAGCACTCCAGGTGCTGGACACCCCTTATTAGTTTTCTCAAACATATCTGTTAGGTGCAGGGCAGGCTGAAGTAAGTTATCTGCAGGGCAGGCTGAACGAATGTTAGCTGCAGGATAACCCACGCACTCAAACCCCCCTCTGTCTGGTCCTTTATCACCTGTTTGCATCAAGGCTGAACACTCAACCCCCATCGGTCTGGTGCAACGGAAACCCACATCTAGCCCCCTGCCCCATCTGCCTGAAGGCAGAATATGACACTACTGTATGATCCAATCACTGTAGGCCAACAAGGCAGCTCGCAGACCCAGAGACCCCATTAGATTTGGGCTATAAAAACTCCCTCCTGCTGGGCCCCTCTCTCTTGCTCTTGCTCTTTCTTCTCTTGCTTCCACTCTCCCTCTCCCTCTCTCCTCTCCTCTTCTCTCTCTCTCTGCTCTCCCCCCCTTTCTTCTCTCTTTCCCCACTCTTTCTTTCTCTCTCTTTTTCTCCTCTTTTGCACTGCTGCAATAAAGATCTCTTAGTTGCTCCAAGTGTTGTGGTCACTTTCCTTTCAATATCCAGCATAGTACTTTGAAGAAATGTGCAAACAAGGCCTCTGCCCTTGAGCTAAGCTTCACAGAGATGTCTACATTTTTAAGATAAGAGAAGTTTCCAACTGGGCTCCATGGTAACAGCTGGCAGGAGGAGAAAAGAAGGGGAGAAGAAGCTCTCCCCTTCTCAGGTGTTGTCCTTGAAAGGTTAACTTGACCAAAATAGTGAAAGAAAAAGCTGCTTTTATGTGAACTTCTGCAGACTGTGAACTTCTGAGCCCCTCCCCTTACATGCTGGGTATAAAACTCTGAAACTCCCTGAACTTGGGGTTCAGGGGGTTGATTGATTACAGCAAAGGCTTTACCCTCTGAACCTGGCTGCAGCCAAATAAAAGTGTTTCCTGCTATCTTCGGTGCCTTGCCTCGTTTGTCCCTGCAGCATAAAGATAGGTAGGATGTGGCTGCAAGATATAGGTCACTGGGTGCTTAACTTTAGGGTATATACTTTGAACCTGAACAGAACACTTCCTCTTCCCTCCCTCTCCCTCTTTCTCTCCCCTGCCCCCTTCTCTCCTTCCTGGCTGTCATGTCTCAGCYGCTGTCCTCCACCAGACCCTTCTCCCTTAACATTCTGCCTCACTTGGGGGCAGAGCTATGGAGTTGGTCAGCCATGGACTGAACCTCTGAAATTTTCAGCCAAAATAAATTTTTCCTCCTCTACATTGTTCTCTTCGGGTCTTTCAGTCACAGTGACACAAAGATGACTAAAATATGACCCCATCCTTCAGCTGTATGTTTTCCCTTATTCCACTCCTAGGTCTTCATGTTTTAGTCAAGTGGAACTGCTGACCATTCCAYATGCAGGTCTACCTAGTCTATTGAAAACTTTGTCATTCTTCAAGTYCGGTGTGCTCCACCTCCTCTGGGAAGCCTTCCTAGATTCAAAAGACCTGCCCAAGTCTCTTCGAGGTCCTCCCATATATTATTTTATAATAACAATAACTAATGTTGATTAAACACTAATGYGAAGCCAGTTCCTGGGGAAGCTGGGTCGGAGAATTGCTTGACTCTAGGAATTTGAGACTAATCTGGGCACAGTAGTGAGACTCCACCAAAAAAGGGGGTAGGGGCTAGGGATATAGCTTGGTGGTAGAGCATTTCCCTAGCATGTGCAAGGACCTGAGTTTGATCCTTACTACTGCAAAACAAAAACAAATCAAATAAAAACAAAACAAAAAACCACTAATGTGCAAGACTCCATTATTTATAATCTTTTTTATTTTTATTTTTTTGTAGTTGTAGATGGACAGAATGCCTTTATTTTATTTGTTTATTTTTATGCGGTGCTGAGGATCAAACCCAGTGCCTCATGCATGCTAGGCAAGTGCTCTACTACTGAGCTACAGCCCCAGCACCTATTTGTAATCTTTATACCAATTTATCACAGGGTGACCAGCACCCTGACAGTATAGTTTTCTGCTCAAGAGGTGATGAGCCACCTGAGAAAATGAAAGTCTTAAATAACTAGTGAAGAATTAAGAGACCCAGAGCCAGAAATTAGTTTTTAAAAAGCAGAGCACCTGATAGGTCTTCCAGTCCTGGTAGGAGCTGGAACTGAAGGACTAGAAAATGGCTCCKGTCCTTTGTTTAAGGGAGAACATCAAAAGCAGGGGATAAGGTTTCAGTGAGGGAGTGTTGTGGTAGGGGATTTGCAGCAAACAGGTTGACTGGCATCTTGGCAAGTTACACCCATCTCTGAGAGGCTGTGTGGCTATGTAGCTCCAGCAGGTCACCCCAATTCCAGAGCAGTGCTGAACCTGGCAGAGCTAAGTAGGAATTTCCATGTTTTGGGCAGTCTCAGAACCAGCATGAGTGCCTCTGGGAGTTCCCAGATTCCAGACTTTCCTACCTAGTGGCTTCCATAATGATTGGGTTCACACACATTTCAAGGATGACTCCTGGCACCAATTTGTTTGTTGTTGTTGTTGTTTTGGTTTGGTTTGGTGYTTTTCTTTTGTTTTGTACCAGGGATTGAACCTAGGGGCGCTTAACTACTGAGTCACATCCTCAGTCCTTTTTATATTTTATGTAGAGACAGTGTCTCACTGAATTCCTTAGGGCCTCACTAAGTTGAGGAGGCTGGCCTTGAGCTTGCAATCCTCCTGGCTCAGCTTCCCTAGCTGCTGAGACGACAGGCATGCATCACCACACCTGGCTCCTTATACCAATCTTGTGAGATACGTGTTGTTATTTCCAGGTTTTTAGAGACAAGGAAACTGATGCACTTGGGCAAGCAATGATTTGCCCAGGATTGCCTAGCAAAGAGCAGGTGAGTCAAAAGCTGAACCCAGTCTGCCTAGAGCCAGTGCTCTTAACCTCGCCCCATATTGTGACCCTTTTCTATCATTTTTGTGAAACAAGCCTCCTTTGCTGCTTCCTCTGCTGGAGAACCTCTCCCCACATCAGTTCTTCCTCATGCCATGGTAAGTAAGGACAGTTCTCCCTGCAGCATTTCCTGGCTTATCATCAGCTACGCTGAGTTAGGTGGTATCTGCCCCAATCACTTTCTTCCACATTCCAACCTGGGTGAGCTGTGACCCCAGAGCCCAGCACAAAACCCACAGAGGCCTCAGATGACCTTTGCTAAATGAATGAATGAATGAATGAATGAATGAACGAGTGAATGAGGTCTGCTTTCCTCATCTTGGAATTCCCTTACCACTCAGTCTCTCCAAAGAAAGCTTTCAACACAGTCACTGAATATTGGCTGCATCTTTGGAGTGAAAATGGCACTAGCTTTGCTGGCGTGCTTAATTTTCTGCACACACTCCCCAGGCAGGTTGGGCTAGTCCTGTATCCTGAGTCTCAGATCTGACTTCTCAGAAGAAGTGGTAGAAATACTGGGGCTCAATGTCAGTTTCCAGCCTTGCTGTGGAATAACAGTCAAACCTGAAGAGCATCACTAAATCACTAAATCTGACCTTAAGTTTACATATTTGCAAAACATGGCTGTTGGTATCCATACCCTCCTTAGCAAGCTTCTTCTTCTCCCACCCCTCCTCCTTCTCCTTCTTTTGGTATTGGGGGTCGAACATGCTCTATTTTCTCCAGATCCTTAAATTTTTTTTTTTTTGAAGAGTTGGGAATGTAGTTTAGTGGTAGAGTACTTACCTGGTGTGTGGGAGGCTATGGGTTCTGGGTTCAATCCCTAGTACTGCAAAGAAAGGAAGGAGGAAGAAAAGAAAGATTATAGGCATGTACCACCATGCCTGACTTCTTTCTTTTTTCTTTTTATTTCCTTTTATCCCCCACCCCACTAACCCC